GCCTTGAGGCCCCATTATCTAGTATTAGCATGCAACACCAGTCTTCTTGATGATTAATGTTTGCAAAAGCCTTCCATCCTTTACTTCCAGCCTCCCTAGCGCCTTACAGTGAAGGTGGGGTTTCATTTCTTAGTCTGAAATCTGTCTCTCACTGGAACTACCTAACACACTTAGAAATACAGTGTTCAGGGGATCCCTGGGTGGCGCAGCGGTTTGGCGCCTGCCTTTGGCCCAGGGCGCGATCCTGGAGACCCGGGATCGAATCCCACGTCGGGCTCCCGGTGCATGGAGCCTGCTTCTCCCTCTGCCTGTGTCTCTGCCCCTCTCTCTCTCTCTCTGTGACTATCATAAATAAATTAAAAAAAAAAAAATTTAAAAAAAAATACAGTGTTCATAAACATACTGTTATCTAATAACAACCTCGTAGCATCCTAGGACTTCCCACCTTTCTCTTGCCTTTTTTTTTTTTTAATTTTTCTGTATTTTCCTATTAGCTTGGTAGTTATTCTCTTAGTTGTTAATTTGGAGATTACAAAATACATCTTCATCTTATTAAAAGTCTACTTCAGGGATCCCTGGGTGGCACAGCGGTTTGGCGCCTGCCTTTGGCCCAGGGCACGATCCTGGAGACCCGGGATCGAGTCCCACGTCGGGCTCCCGGTGCATGGAGCCTGCTTCTCCCTCTGCCTATGTCTCTGCCTCTGTGTGTGTGTGTGTGACTATCATAAATAAATAAATAAATAAAAATTAAATAAATAAATAAATAAATGTCTACTTCACTTCTCAAACAATGCAAAGATGTTAAAATACTAAAGTTACCACCTTCTGATATACAAGCTTTCGTTACTATTATTTGTTAGTTTGATTCTCTATGTATTTTTAAACCCGTAGCTATTATATACTTGTATACAATCGATGCTTTTTATCATTTGCCCACCTACTTTTTTGTCTTTATTTTATTTTTTAATTTAAAATAGTCACAGAGTGGGGGGGGGGGGCGAGAGGGAGGCAGAGACATAGGCAGAGGGAGAAGCAGGAAGCAGGCTCCATGCACTGGGAGCCTGATGTGGGATTCGATCCCGGGTCTCCAGGATCGCGCCCTGGGCCAAAGGCAGGCGCCAAACTGCTGCGCCACCCAGGGATCCCACTTTTTTGTCTTTAACTCTTCATTCTTTCTTGTATCTCCAAGCCTGGGATCAAATTTCCATCTCAGCTTTAAGAATACTATTTAGAACTCCCCCTTGGGGCTGTTCTATTGCTAGGAAATTGTCTGAAAATACATTTAAAGCACTTTGATATTTTCAATAGGTTCAGAATTCTTGACAGTCATTTTCTATTAGCGCTTTGTTTAACCCCAAATATAAGATTATTTTTAGTTTTTTAATATATTTATCAAGTAAGCTCTATGCCCAATGTGGGGCTTGAACACACAACCCCAAGAATAAGTTGCATGCTCTACTGACTGAGCCAGCCAGGTGCCCTATAGTACTTTAGAAGGAATATTTGTCTATCAACTTCCACTGTCCTACTGAGAAGCTAACCATCTGTCTTATTGCTTCTTTTTTTTTTTTCCTGGTTACTTTAAGATTCCTCTGTAGGGTGATATTCAACAGCTGCAGTCTTCTGTATTCTTCTTCATTCTGCTCAGGGTCCTCAGTGTTTCTGCAATCGGTGGCTCTACTTCTCTAGCGCATTTTGCAAAACTCTCAGCTGTTACCACTTCAAGTACATCTCTGCTTCATTCTCTCCTCTTGTTCAGGAAACACAATCACACATGTGGCACATATGTATGTACAGACATGCAGTATCTTTTCAGCAGGAGCCTGAGAGTCCAACCTCTTCCCGCTGTGCTTTCAATTAATTTATTTTCTTCTGACCTCACTTCCAGTTCATTATATCTCCAATGTCTTTAGTCATCTCTAATCTGTTAAAATCATCCACTCAATTCTAAAATTCAGCTTTATATTTCAACTCCAGAATTTCCTTTTTACTAACTTCCAGTTAATTCTCTGCTGCAAATTTTTCTGTTCTACTCTATTAGTTGAATTTATGTGTAGGTATTTCCAAGATATACCCTCTCTACCCCTACAAGTGTGTCAAAAATTCCACTAAGCTTTTTGGCCACCTCCTCTAGAATTGGCAAATGCCTTCCAATTCACAGTTCCTCACTCTAGGCTTTCCTTATCCACCATATCTTAGTACCCTAACTTCTCATTATATGTACCTCAGGTGTTTTTTCACCTTTGTTCAGCTTTCGAGTTGTTTTTATTTTTTTATTTTTTTTTAAAGATTTATTTATTTATGATAGACATAGAGAGAGAGAGAGGCAGAGACAGAGACACAGGCAGAGGGAGAAGCAGGCTCCATGCAGGGAGCCCGACATGGGATTCGATCCCGGGTCTCCAGGATCGTGCCCTGTGCCAAAGGCAGGCGCTAAACCACTGCGCCCCCCAGGGATCCCCATCGAGTTGTTTTTAAAAAGGAAAGCTAGTCCAAGCCAGCTATACAGCATCTTTCCTTCCTATGGAATCCTCAATTGCTATTCTTTCAAACAAAAGGTTCTACCTCCAGTGGTAAGAATACTAACATTTTTGAGAATGTAAATTATATCAAATGACACTGTATAATGCTACCCCTTAAAAAGGTATACACAAAAATATTCACAGTGACTATTCCTAAATGGTAGGATCACGGAGGCTTATTTTCTTACTTGCTATTAACTACTGTCTAATTTTTCTGTAAACAATATTACTTATATATCTTCATAGAAACTGGAAGAAAAAAAAAACTGCAAGAAAAATCTTTACTAAAATTAAAAATGGTTTCTATACGCCAGTAACAGGTCAAAGAACATAAAAAAGATTAGTAACTAAAATTGTGTACTTGTTTGACTTTGAACTTTGGTAATCATTGGCAAGCACAGATTAACTTTCTGATGTTATTAAAAACTTACTACTACCCAAAGAGACTTTTCAGATATTTTCAATAAATACAACTGGGTGGGCCCCATTACCAAAGGAATGGGTTTCAGGAAAGACTAGAGCTCCACTTTCACACTGAGGGATTCCATAATGGTTTTAAGACGACACCAGCACAAAGTCAGAAGTTTTCTCCTCTGCTACAAAATAAACTGGCCTAGAAATTCATATTAAATAACACAATGTCAACTGTGGTACACACAAGTAGGATTCAAATTAATGTTCAAACTATGAAAACTTTTAAGAAAACTCCTCGCAAAAAAAAAAAAAAAAAAAAAAAACTCCTCACCTAAAAATAAACAGGCACACCAAAATCTTACTTAAAATTTCAAAATAAAACACCATCCCAATTATGGTGTTTTCATTCAAAACTATGTTGTTTTTGCTCTTCAACAAAATGGACCCAAAAAGTTTCTCGTCACAGAACTTCCCACCAAATCTAGAGACCACTTAACATAGAAGCCTGCCTGGGTCAATCAGCACCTGAAAGTGGAACCGCCCCCACAGTTTTATCCAAATTAAAATCAGAGGCAGCAAGGTGTCTTAAAAGGCCTTACAAATCCGTATCTCCTAACAAACTGTTAATTTTTTAAAAATTGACCAAATAGCACCATTTTCAGTTCTGGATGAACCACTGGCTCTAAGACAGAATCATCAGTTACTGCTACAGAGAAACTACCAGACATTTCATGCCTAGAAGAGAATACGTCTCAAGGTGATCAAGCCTTTAGATCAATGATCCTGAAAGTGCAGTCCCTGGAGTAGCAGCAGCACCTTGAAAATTATTATAAATGCAAATTCTTGAACCCTACCTATGACATTTCAGAATCTTTGGTGGTGGGGCCTAGCAATCTGTATTTTAAACAAGGCCTCCAAGTGATTCACATACACATTAAGCACAACTGCTGCTCTGGATCCAACAACTAAGTTACGGGAAACACAGAGGAACGTGGTGATCCACTCTACAAGGATGCAAACGGTGACATCCAAACTATGGAACACCACACACAAACCACCCAATTCTTTTAACAAAAAACCTGTAAGGAGCTTTCTTTAAAAAATTGGGCAAGGGAACACAATTTGCTTTAAGCTTCTTTTAGTAACCGATTATAAAGTGTAAGTTTTCTCTGGTCCCTCAAACAAAATAATGCTATTTACGAGACACAACTGGAAATTTGAACACGAAAAAAAGGTAAGTATGATGGTAACATTTTGGTTGTGTTTTTTAAAAAGAAAGCTTTGGGGCGCCTGGGTCGTTCAGTCAAGTTAAGCATCTGCCTTCGGCTCAGGTCATGATCTCAGGGGCTTGGGATCCAGCCCAGCATCAGGCTACCTGCTCAGTAGAGAGTCTGCTTCCCTCTCCTTCTGCTCCTCCCCCTGCTCAAGCATGCACGAGCAAACTCTTCTCTCAAATAAAATCTTAAAAAATAAAAAAAGAAATCTTATCTTTTAGAAAGATATACTGAAATACTTACAAAAGAAATGATATGAAATCTAGAATTTGCTTTAGGTACAAAGTAAAGAGGTTGGAGCAAAAAACTGGCCACTGGTTGATGGGCACTTAAGTGTTCATTATACTTTTCTACTCTGTGTATGGCCAAAATTATCCTCCATAATAAAGTGAAAAGATTCTTTAAATATACTTAAGCAAATTTAACCAACTTAGTGAAATCCACTTTAAAACAAAGTAGAAAAATCATTAACCTATCCTGTTCATAACTGACACTATCCGGGGCTCAACTGTAAGCCTAATGGAGGCAGTAAGTCATCCATCATGTCTTCATGTAAAGCCCTAACTGCACTGGACAACATTACCTCACCCTTCCAAGATTCAGGGAGGTATAATTAATTACATCTTCTCTTGGTTAAAACAGATCACACAATTTCTAAGCATTTTATTATTTCTCATCTCTAAGTAGAAAGAGTTTTATTTTTTTTTATTTTTACTTTTTTTTTTTTTTAGGAGAAAGTTTTAAAGGAAAAGGAGATCATACACAAATGCGCACACTAAGGCTAGTTTACCTGTAAAGATGTGATTGACCCCGTGTGTCCTTGGAGCACAGCAACTGGGGCACAAGTTCTCAAGCACCACACTCTAATTATCTTATCACAGCTCCCTGCAGCAATCATTGTATTCTCATAGTTTACTGCCATATCTGAAATTTCTGCAGAATGACCTCTTAGTGTGGATAATAGGCGGCCATTGTGTGTTGACCAAATCTTCACCAAACAATCATCTGAACCCTGAGAAAAAATACACCCAAAAACAAATGTTAACATAGCAAGTTTTTCCTAGCATTTTTAAAAATACTATTTCATGTGTCACTCAGATGAAGGAACTATAACTCCTCTTCTCTTTCCAACTGTACAATACACTGTAAACTAGGACTCTTATGGTCAGAACACTTATGGAACAATAGCTTTTTTCTGCAAATCAAATAACATCTATATGAAAATTTCATACTATGAAATTTTCATTTCTGTGGCTCAGACATTATAAAATACTATTTTCCCAAGATTCCCCACCAAGTAATGAGTCCAACTGGAAGTTTATGACTCACTTATTTCAATTAACAATGGTTAAATGTCAGTTTAGCTCACATCAAGCTAAATAATTTGATATGCATTAGGACAGATCTATGGTTCACCGACTGAGTTAAGTGGTAATCTCAAAAACTAAAAAAATAATAGGACTAGCACTCTAATTTTAAATAACCAAACACAGCCTCAAATCTGTAGCACCAGTCAGCACCCATCTAACTCGGCAAATTTGTGAGTACCTGCTCTGAATCTCACACCTGAAAAAGGAAATTTATTAAACTTCTGACCCATGGTAATTTTCCCTTAAAAAATTAAAATGTTAGATTACAAATATTACAGAGTTTTATAATAATTATAATCTTCCACTAATCAAATAATTAATTTCCCTGAATCAATGAGTAATCAATATGAATATGAATCACCTACAGGGATTTGGATTTTTATGGAAGCTTTGGTTACTAGACATACTAGAAACTATCCTCATCAAGAAGTCTAGAATGGGCTAGAAGGCAAGAATTAGGTGTGTATATTTTTAAGATCCTTGATGCTCATGCCCACAAACCTTTGCTCTAGGTCAATGTCTCACAAACACCACACAAGACCTGGCTATCTGCATCTGAATGTCTTGGGCCACTTAATAAAAATGCAAATTCACGGGCCCCACACCAGATCTATGGAGTCAGAAACTCTAAGAATGGGAACCACAGAATCCATGTTTTATGAGATCTCCTAAATGATTCTAACACACACTGAAGTGCTCCAAATGATACCAAATTTAGTTTAAAACGTTAACTCACGGTAAAGATTCTATGTCCTGTCCTATCAAATGCTACACAGTAAACAGCAGATAGATGTCCGAGAATCCTTCTGTGCATTTTTATATGCTGATACATAGTTCCTGGAAATGCTGTGCTAAAAGTGGAACACCCTGTGAGTTGTTTTCCTCGATGTATCTCCACTAGGAAATAAAAACAATGAAAATGGTTAAGGAAGAGTCAATGTGTGAAAAACGAAGAAAAACTCCACAATTTCTAGAGGGTCATAGAATCTATGTTCAAGAAATCCTAAGGACACAAGTTTTTCTCCCCAACTCTGTTCTAGTATAATCACCACTATGGGCCTCTTATTTACGGTATAAGATTAAATTTCATTACTTTTTATTACGTTTAGTAATAACTTTAGGAAAACAATAAATCTGGAAATTGACACTTATTACTATTGAAACAACACTACCAGTATTTCCTTTTAAATTTTAACACAACCATTACAAAGTGGGTCAAGAAATTAAAAACATAGTTTCGGTCACCTGCCAAGCCACGCTCACTCACCAAGACTGGGTGGGGAACCGTAATTCACCGGCATTTCTGGAGGTCTTCCTCTGTGAAGAGCAGCAAAGGCAGAGCCCTTCCAAACTGTGTGCCTGCAGTCTTTAAAACGAATTTTAGATACACATAAAATCTTGAAAGTTAACCCCAAGAAAGATTTTATAGAATACTTACGTATATTGTAACAAACTGTTTATTCAAAGTTTTACCAACTAATATACTTTAACAGAAAAGCCCTAGAGGTTTATTAGACTATTTCTGAAGGGGAAAAAAAATTACGACATCTCAGATACAACAACAACAGCTAACATGAGAGTATAGCACTTTACAATGTACAAAGTGCTTTCCACGTACATCATCTCATTGAATCCTCACAACAACCCTGTGAGGTAGGTGTGATCGCCAACGCACAAGTGAGGTAACTGAGGCTCAAAGGTTCTGGGACCTTTCAAGAGACCCACTGCCAATGACCAAGTCCGGATGGACCATAAAACCAGATCTTTTGACTCCCAAGTCCTAGTCAATGCCGAGTGAGTTTTTATTTGTCAATGCAGAATTACACCACACAATATGAATGGTAAGAGAGCTTAATCACAACGGATCCAACTTTCCCAAAATGGAAATTTTTTAAGAAATATTTTATTTGACTTCTATGAAAATCCTTAAAATGTTAACGGAGTTTTAAAATTAATTTTGGCCAATATTACCATGACTTTAATCTCCTTAGGAAATACTGACAAAATTAAGTGGCTTTCCTCTTGTTTTAGGATCACGGATAAGCCTTTATACCCTGAGCACATACGTAGGATCTGTGAGTGTGAACACTAATTCTAATTCTAGCGTCCCGTCCCTCTTTGACCTATCAGCAAATACACTAGGAAGAAACATCTGCCCCCTCTATAGGAGATAGCAGCAGAACACAGATTATGCTGTGCCAGAAATTAGCTTCTTCGCAAATGAAAGAAGGGAAGGAAGGCATCATATAAACCTCTACTGAGCCTCGGGTGCCCCAACCTAACACGCATATTACTTTTTACATAAACGGATTCATTACCACTATCATGACCAAAGAGCAGTTACAAGGCATCCTCTCTTGACACCAGTACAAAACAGAAATATGGGCCCCTACCCTAGGGCAGCTGGCTCAAGTCTCTTCTAAGGTCTGCCAGTTCTAAAGCAGTGCTCATCACAAAACGACACAGAGCTTGACACAAGTAAGAAAAACAGAGGAAACAGGCCACACAGGCAACTACTACATAACAACCTAAAATAGGATAATTACAAGGTGAATAGGGACACAGAGAAGGGAGAGTAAGAACAGTTTCCTGACCCAAGCCACCATGTGGCAGGGCCACAGAGCACTAAGAAATAACTAAAGCTGACAAACCAGTCTGGCACAGAACCAAGAAGGAGGGTTGTTCTTTCTCAGTCAAGCTTTACAGCTGGTGGTGCATCTACGAGGCAGCACCACCTCAGCAACAGATCGTAAAGATAATCACAGGGGATGAACTTGACGTATACTCAGGATCAGAAGAGCCAACATTCTTGCCCATTAGCAGTTAAGCCACGTTGTATACATAGATCATATCACATACATATACTTAATCTAAGTGATTTATACCAAGCTAACAGAAAAAGAACAGCAATTCCAAACATTTTGCTACCACATAACTTTGCAAAAAAATTAAATTGATGAAAGAGAACCATGCAATTGTACATTTTTGGTGCTTGATTTCAAACTGCTACCAAATTTAGAAAATCACTTCCCCTTATTACAAAGGGCTTTCAGAATCTAAATACCAAATAAAATACTTCTATAATTTAAAGAGTTTATTAGACACATACAATTACATTCAATGAAGTTATAAGTGAGCTACAAAATGGAAAATTAAGAACTCACATCGATAAAACCTCAAACACATCTCAGAATAAATCCAAGCTTTTTTGCTTAACATCTATACCTTTATCATTTTTTTTAATGCAGAAGGACCCATTAAACACTTATGTAGTAAAATTCAATGTCTATGCTAAATGCAGAGAATTTTATAGTCCACATCATGGTTTATAGTTACATATCGCCTTTCTTTCACAATGCTTACATTACTTCACAATTATAATTATTATTAAGCTACAAAGCAGAACACTTCTTCAAATTAAGGTACCTTTTGCTGTACGTAGCAAAGACTGCCTTCCTGCACCAAGTAAAGAAGTGACTCTTGAAATACTGGGTGGAATTTCTTTATCCAACATGGGACCAATGCGTTGGCAGATTTGCAACAGATGATCAGGAGCCACATGTTTATTGGACAAGACCTAAATTGGAGAGCAAGTTTTAAAAATATTATTCACAACAGTATCAAAAAATATTAAACACGAATAAGTCTGACAAAACATGTAAAAATATGTACAGTGAAAACTACATATCACTGCTGAGATAATTTAAAGAAAATCTAAATAAACAGCAAACTGATCTTTAGGTTCAAAGCCATCCCAATAAAAATCCAAGCAGGGTTTTTTGCAGAAACTGCCAATTTTATTCTAGAATTCATATTCAAATGCAAGTGGCCTACAAAGCACCTTTAAAAAAATATAAAGTTGAGGTATGAAAATAGTACCGGACTTCAGGAATCATTATATAACAAGGATAATGAATTTCTGACAAATGCACAAAGGACAAAAAATAATCTTTTCAAAAAAAAAAACAGAGCTGGAACTGGATATCCAATTGTCAAAAAACTTTTAATTAACTTTGATCCATACATCAAACCACGAACAAAAATTTTTCTCAAGACAGATCACAGATGGGACACCTGGGTGGCCCAGTAGTTGAGCATCAACTGCTCAACATCTTGATGCTCCAACATCAACTGTTGGCAGTTGAGCCAACCTGCCTTTGGCTCAGGTCGTGATCCCAGAGTCCTGAGATAAAGTCCCAGATTGAGTTCCCCAGAGGCAGCCTGCTTCTCCCTCTGCATGTCTTTGCATCTCTGTGTCTCTCATGAATAAATAAAATTTTTTAAAAATAAAAATACACATCAAACACCTTGATGGCCCAGACCATCAAGGGTACATATATCTGAAAAGCCATCATGTATCTGCAGGCTGTCGCTTATCAGAAGCCATGTCTGCCATTCCCTACCTCTAATAGTGGAGATGGTAGGTATGCTGAGGCCAAACAATGCAGCTGGACAAGGATCAGTGACCCCAAAAGAGTGCTGAATTTTTACTGCACGTGATTAAAAATGCAGAGGGTAATGCTGAACTGAAGAGTCTAGATACAGATTCTCTGGTCACTGAGCAGATCCAGGTGAACAAAACCCCCAAGATGTGGTGTAGAACTTATAGGGCTCGTGCTCAGATTCACCCACATGAGCTCTCCTTGGCACAATGAGAGATCCTTACTGCAAAAGACCTGATGGTTCCTAAGCCAGAAGAAGAAGTTGTACAGAGCAAAAGGATATCCCAGAAGAAAATGAAGAAACAAAAACTTATGGCCCAGGGGTCAATTCTATATAGAATAAATGCAGGGCCCCCTTGGTGGCTCAGTCGGTTAAAGCATCTGACTTTGTCAGGTCATGATCTAAGGGGACTGGGATCAAGTCAGGCTCAGTGGGGAATCTGCTTCTCATCCTCTCCCTCTGCCCCCTCCAGTTTGTGCGCTTGTGTGTGCACATGCACTCCCGCAAATAAATAAAATCTTTAAAAAATGAATAAAAGTAAAAAAAGAAAAAGAAAAAAAACATATTTGGGCAGCTTCTTTAATAACAACACATATACCTACCATATTATCCAGGTACTCTATTCCTAGGTATGAACTCAAGAATACCAAAAGCACAAGTTCCTATAAAAAGTTTGTTCATGCACATGCCCCACCTACATCTGGCTGCAGCAGCAAAAGGCTATTCTCTATAAATGCCTACAAGTGCCTCCTGCAATTAACCAGTTCTCCCCGGCCTTGAACCACCTAACACCTACTCAAATGCTTAAGCTGGCCCACAAATACAGATCAGAGACAAAGCAAGAGAAGAAGCACAGATTGTTGGTCCAGTCTGAGAAGAAAGCTGCCAGCAAAGGGGATGTCCCACTGTGAGGCTGTCTGTCTTCTGAGCTGGGGTTAACAGTCGCCACCTTGGTGGAAAACAAGAAGGTTCTGCTGGAAGTGATTACACATGATATGGATCCCACAGAGCAAGCTGTCTTCTTTCCAGTCCTGTGTCGTAAGATTGGGGGAGGCGGGGGGTCTCTACTTCATTATCAAGGGGAAGGCCAGGCTGGGGCATAGCGTCCACAGGAAGATCTGCTCCACTGTTACCATCATATAGGTTAACTCAGAAGACAAAGGAGCTCTGGCTAAGCTGGTAGAAGCTATCAGGACCAATAACAATGACAGATTTAATGAGATCTGCCATGACTGGGGTGGCAATGTCCTGGATCCAAAATCAGAGGCTTGTATTGCCAAGCAGGAAAAGGTAAAGGGCTAAACTGGCCACCAAACTGGGTTGTGTCCACTGTTGAATTATCTGTATGTAAAAGTAATAAAAAGCTCTTTTTTCTAAAAAATGTTTCCATATAAATGTTCTAAAACATCTTTCTTTTTAAGATCCCAAAAGTAGGGATGCCTGGATGACTCAGCGGTTTAGCCCCTGCCTTCGATCAAGCCCCTAGGGTGTGATCCTGGAGTCCCGGGATCCCGGGATCACACCCTGGGCTGAAGGCAGGCGCTAAAACCGCTGAGCCACCCAGGTGTCCCAACACACTTTATGAGTTTAACTCATAAAGATGCCTAATGTTAACCTGATTTGAATGTATGTCATAAACTTTAATGCTGCATTAAGGTCTCTCAATCATGATGCTACCAACATTTGAGACAAAAAACATCACTGTGCAAGACTGTCTGCATGTGCAGGACATATGGTACTGCTGGTTCCTTTCCAGCAATGGCAAGAGTATTCGCTGTGCCGTGACACCAGCAATGCCCCATACACTTTCAAGCTCCCTGAGAAAGAGCTGCTCCAAAGAAAATTTGAAACATAGTTCAAGATCACACTTTTGGTTCTTATACGTCAATTCAAATATAAAATAAGCCTGGATTCAATATAAAGTTATGGGGTACCCAGGTGGCTCAGTCAGCTGAGTGTCTGACTCTTGGTTTTGGCTCAGGTGATCTCAGAGTCCGAATGAGCACACGCCCCCCCCCCCCCATAGGACTCTGCTCAGCTCAGAGTCAGCTTGAGATTTTCTCCCTCTTTCCCTTCCCCCTGCTCTCTCTTTCTGTTTCAAATAAATAGGACGTTTAAGTTTTTGTTCATAAGTTCTAGTGACAGAAGGGGCTAAATAAAATATCTTCAACTTTTCAACCTAACTTTTGTTTCCTACCCTGACAGAAAGCCCACGGCTCTATCAAAGCTCAGGAAGATATCAAAGTGTTTTTTTTTTTTTTTTTATAAATTAATTTTTATTGGTGTTCAATTTACCAACATACAGAATAACACCCAGTGCTCATCCCGTCAAGTGTACCCCTCAGTGCCCGTCACCCATTCACCCCCACCCCCCACCCTCCTCCCCCTCCACCACCCCTAGTTCATTTCCCAGAGTTAGAAGTCTTTATGTTCTGTCTCCCTTTCTGATATTTCTCACACATTTCTTCTCCCTTCCCTTATATTCCCTTTCGCTATTATTCATATTCCCCAAATGAATGAGAACATACACTGTTTGTCCTTCTCCGGTTACTGTGGCCAAGTTCAAAAAGGGTGTTGCCTGAGTTCTTCTCTGGGATTTTGATGGAATCTTGTCTCACATTTAGATCTTTCATCTATTTTGAGTTTATCTTTGTGTATGGTGCAAGAGAGCGGTCCAGTTTCATTCTTCTGCATGTGGATGTCCAATTTTCCCAGCACCATTTATTGAAGAGACTGTCTTTCTTCCAGTGGATCGTCTTTCCTCCTTTATCGTATATTAGTTGAGCATAAAGTTCAGGGTCCACTTCTGGGTTCTCTGTTCTGTTCCATTGATCTATATGTCTGTTTTTGTGCCAGTACCACACTGTCTTGATGAACACAGCTTTGTAGTACAACCTGAAATCTGGCATTGTGATGCCCCCAGATATGGTTTTCTTTTTTAAAATTCCCCTGGCTGTTTGGGTTCTTTTCTGATTCCACACAAATCTTAAAATAATTTGTTCTAAGTCTCTGAAGAAAGTCCATGGTATTTTGATAGGGATTGCATTGAACGTGTAAATTGCCCTGGGTAACATTGACATTTTCACAATATTAATTCTGCCAATCCATGAGCATGGAATATTTTTCCATCTCTTTGTGTCTTCCTCAATTTCTTTCAGAAGTGTTCTGTAGTTTTTAGGGTATATTTTGAGAACCATTTGAATGGTAAATGGTTCTCCAACCTTTTATTTTCAGGTTGTAGGTGTCCTTCTGTCTAAAATGAGTCTCTTGTAGACAGCAAATAGATGGGTCCTGTTTTTTTATCCAGTCTGAAACTCTGCGCCTTTTGATGGGGTCATTAAGCCCATTCACGTTCAGAGTTACTTGAACTTCTTCTTAAAGGGGAGTTTTAAGAGACCCCCTTAAAATTTCTTGCAGAGCTGGTTTGGAGGTCACATATTCTTTCAGTTCCTGCCTGTCTTGGAAGCTCTTTATCTCTCCTTCCATTTTGAATGAGAGCCTTGCTGGATAAAGTATTCTTGGTTGCATGTTCTTCTCATTTAGGACCCTGAATATATCCTGCCAGCCCTTTCTGGCCTGCCAGGTCTCTGTGGAGAGGTCTGCTGTTACCCTAATATTCCTCCCCATGAAAGTCAGGGACTTCTTGTCTCTTGCTGCTTTAAGGATCTTCTGTTTATCTTTGGAATTTGCAAGCTTCACTATTAGATGTCGAGGTGTTGAACGGTTTTTATTGATTTTAGGGGGGATCTCTCTATTTCCTGGATCTGAATGCCTGTTTCCCTTCCCAAATTGGGAAAGTTTTCAGCTAGGATTTGTTCAAATACATATTCTGGCCCTCTGTCCCTTTTGGCGCCCTCGGGAACCCCAATTAAACGTAGGTTTTTCTTCCTCAGACTGTCATTTATTTCCCTTAATCTGTCTTCATGGTCCCTTAATTGATTGTCTCTTTTTTCCTCAGTTTCCCTCTTTGCCATTAACTTGTCTTCTATGTCACTCACTCGTTCTTCCACCTCGTTAACCCTCGTCGTTAGGACTTCTAGTTTGGATTGCATCTCATTCAATTGATTTTTAATTTCTGCCTGATTGGATCTAAATTCTGCAGTCATGAAGTCTCGTGAGGCCTTAATGCTTTTT